TTTAAAGAAATCACTTGCACCAGTGTCTAAAATAATCAACACTTCATGATGAAAATTGTTAGTTGTAGGATTATCCCTGACATTTTAATCAAAAGTCATCCATATTAAGGAACTATTTTTTTCTGTGGAATCTGGTCACAAACTGTTCTTGTGTCCAAACATATTCTGAAAATACCAACAGTAATATCTAGAATTGTGAAAATCAATTTTAAGGTGGTCTGTATCGTCTTATTAGACATTATGTTATGTAATGTCAGGAAATCACATTACCTCCCTTAGTTGCTCCTGTTCAAACTCGTGCCTCCTGACCAGACTTCGGCGTTTGAGGGCCCTGCAGCTCCGGTCGTAGACCAGCCTCTGCTGGGCCAGCAGATGAGCTTCCTCCTCAGCCTGAGAGCGCTGCATTGTTTCTTTGTGCCTGGACAAACGCTCCTGCTTCTCCTCCTTAGGTGTACAAGGGTCTTCACTCATCTCCTACAACACACCCACAAATAAAAAACACAAAAACAACAGAACAGAGAGAAAGGAATGTGTATTATCTGAAGACAATCTTCATGTTTTCCATATTGAACAGATATAATTAAATAAGACCATAAACTTATATTTACTTCTTTGATCTTGTCTTTGCAAAGCCTGTACTCCTTTTTCTGATTCTCTAAGAAAGTAGTCAGCTCTTTCTTTTGCTGAGCAACAATCTGTTGCTGGATCCTTCTCTCTTCAGCTGCAACTGACTTCATCTGTGAAGAGACATTAAAATATTCAAATGATCACCCCTCATTGATCTCCTAACTGCCACAAATGCCTGCACAGACACAAGTTTGGCTTGAAGTGGATTAAATAACTCTGTAGTTTCCACCTCATTCATAAGAACACCTGCTGTTGAGGCTGTACCTCTTTGTCTGTTTGAGCAGCGTGGCGTTTGGCCAGTCTTTCCAGCTCAATGTAAGTGTTGTTCGCATGTGTCTCTAATTCCTTCTGCAGCCGGAGCCTATGCTCATCCATCTCGGCCTTTAGCCTGTTCTCCAGGGCGATCAGCTGCTTCTGGTGCTGCCGCCGCATGCGCTTATACCCAGACATCTGCTCCCGCAGCTCAAAGTCCTGCTCATGCTCCTGGATCTACCTGATGACCTGGACAGAGGAACACAGGAAGCAGGAAGTAAAAGAAATGGGGCAGGAAGAGAGAAACAACTGCTATGTTGGAAACAGCAACAAACAGCTGGTAAGTCAGAGGCTATGGCCTAAAAACAGACCACATACAGTACAGTGCAAACAACAATTCTGCAAGCTGAAAAGTAATCAGTTCGAAGATTACTACACATGGACAGTAACCCAAGAACTGAACAACAAGTTTATAAATAATACAGAAGTCTGAAAATCCTTTAGGGTTGACAGTATCAGTGTCTTTCAGCATCAGTGTCACACAAAAGAGGAAGTTCATCAATATACAGAGGCTCTGCTGATTAATCCCATTCACACTCTTGATTAGAATCAGCTCTTGATATTATAAAGCAGCATAAATTAATCAATCATCACTTCAGCACCATTTCTGATAAATAAGTATTTATATGATGCCACTTTTAGGCACCAGACCAATCTGTGAAAAGGCTATTTAAGACTGCCATGCTAGAAGATGCATCATTTACAGTGTGACAAAAGCTAAATCTCATCGGTAGTAGACACCTGGCAGAGATTTATATGGAATACATATAAATGCAATGCACACACATAAAAGCAGAGGCAGAGAGGGAAGCTGAGGATGGAAAAAAATGACATCCATTAACAGGATCTGGTTGCCATGACTACAGATGTACAGCTGAGAACACAGACACCCCTTCCCTCCCCTCCTCACCCCCCGCCGCCAGCACTCATACACGCACACATACACTGACACACACGCGCGCGCGCGCGCGAGCACACACGCGTATTTTCTTTTTTTTTCTTTTTTATGCAAACGGAGGAGAGAGGGAGCTGCGTACCAAAGATGCTGATTTGATGGTGGCAATGTGTTCACAGATCTTGCAGTCGAGAGACCGGCTCTTGTGAGAAGTAGGCCGCAGCTCTGGCCTGGTGTCCCTGTGCACAGCCTCATCCCTCACGCAAGCATGGTCCTGCAGGGGGGGAGGAAAAGGAGGAGATAGTGGGGCTGGGTGCTTCCCAGGCCCGCCGCACTCGCTGTTTCTGCTAGAGCTGCTATTATTGCCGAATCTCCCTGAATGCAGCACACATCCAGCTTTAAATGCATCCTTCCCCTGCTTGTTCCCCCGCTACTGTCTGCAAGTTCTTCCTAAGAGAGAAAAGGGCATTGCCAAACAATTGCAGGCACCACCGAGGAGGCAGCTACTGGATGTAGTCGTTTTTTTCTGGCGTCCCCCTCTTCCCAAAGAGGAGGAACCAAATGGCTCCGGTGGATAAGGGTGAATTATGCAATGCCTACCATTGATAATCGGAGAAAGATAGCACAGGGGTGTATTTTACTGCCACTCTCCTTTTCCGTTTCAAAATGCCAGAAATGTTTGGAAGGAAAAATACTTTTCCTGTGTTCCAATGATCGCATGTGGTACCATATTTAAAAATATTTGAATCAGATAAGGCACATCCAAACATGGTTTTCCCTCGAATATGTCGCTTGATGATCCGTTTGTATTCCACTCGAATTTCTGTCCTACATTTACAGCGCACTTGGTCATGGTAGGTGGTTCTGGTGCCTTCTATTCATCTCTTTCCTCTGTCCCTCTTTTACACTCCCCCTTCCTTTAAAGAGACACTGCAATACTACAGGCACATCTCAACAAGCCTAAAGTTATTTAACATTAGACTCTGTCACAAGAACATTTTTTAGAAACGATAGATATCACTAATTAAATTAACAATATGGTAAGAACAATGCCGACTTATGTAGAAAACATGATTATTGTTGTTATTATTATTACATATTATTGTTGTTGTTGCCATTATTGTTATGATTATTATTTATTTTCCACAAACCGACTCCTTTCTGAAATGTATCTGCGTCCCTTTTTTCTTATGTCGACTGTGAACATTATACTTGTATTTTGATATATTTGATAATAATGAAGCAAATAGTGATCATTACTTCACATGGCCACTGGAGGGCGACAGAGACAAACATTTAAATACAGTCTCTGTCCATGGTGCTGAATACATCTCAACGTATCAAATGCATTGTCATCACGCTACTGCTGGTGCTACTACAAGCACTACTAAGACAAAACACACTCAGGTACATATGAGCAACCATGCAGGCCGGCAATTGGTTTATTTTAAACCACCTCATGTGCCAACCGACCATTTGCAAACCGCGTGGAACACCTTAGCAACGGCTTTACAACCACCTAGTGCAATCCTGGCAACCACCTAGCAGCTACCTGAAAATACCCTGCCAGACATTCACAACACCATAGCAACCACCTAGCTACAAACTAATGGCAGCATAATGTAGCAACTTATCCAACACTCTTGTAGCCACATAGCAACCACCTAGCACTTAGCTACCTGACCTAAAGCAACACCTCAAAAAAAAGTCTTAATCAAGGTAATTTTGCAGCAGGCATATACTTACCAGTTTGTGCTGCTGTAAGGCGGCTAAGCCTACTATATATTTCACTTATGTCTGCTGTTGAGTATGTGAGCAGGAACTGTGGTTTAACATTGTTCTTCCTGCTGTATAATATTTAAGCTTCAAATTACAGCGTTTATTAATTTTTATCATCTTTAATATTAAAATTAATGAATCCCATCTCTAAAGACCAAACAGTGTATAGACTGTGTAGTATTCGGAATTTGGTGATCCACTTTATATGTGGTTGAAACATGTCTTGGGGTGGTGTTGGGGTCTTCGGTTTTACACTGAGCACGGTTTGAGGCCTGAGATGGTCCAGTGATTGAATCCCCCGTTGATAACCTTAGATGGAGGACAACAGGCTGTTTGAAGGTTGAACCCATGAACACGTGTGGTGAGGTGGCTGCAGAATGACTTAGTGGGTTGCACCGAGCCTCTGCTGGATGTGTTAATGCATGTTAATAGTCTTTTTGCCAAAGCTAACTTTATTATCTGGGATGATTTCAATTCAATTTGATCCCAAATTAAACTAATTAACAATCATCAAAAAGCAATAGTCAGAATCAGAAATTATTTATCTTTTTGTACTACGGCTTCTATATTTTCAACAATTATTTCCAACGCTGCATTAATCCATGTGTTGACATGTAGTACAAATACAATAACTTAGATACATGAGCCTTTAATACCCAGGTCAAGCACTAGATGTCACTGCTGGCTTTTGTTTGGCCTTCAACTGATCAGGGTAGGACCTGACTTTTACTATTGACCCTTTCAGCCCCCATTGCATTGCATCCACATTTGGCATCAGATGCCTTGTAGAAGATCACATTTGATCACAGTAAGTTGGTTAAATATATAATGTTTAACGAAATGCGTTTATAGCAAACCTTTTAGGACCTTTTCACAGCAGCCGTTTTGACATGAAATATTTGGGTAAACACAGATGTGACCAATGATACTAATTAAGGTTTCTTTCCATTCAGGTCAAACAGGGTCAGGGTGCTGCTTTTGTGCATGTTGGTTCACTGGAAAGGCTCTACTATACTAAATGGAACAGAGCCTTAATTAGTATAATTGGTAACACCTGTGTTTAGCCTACTATTTCATGTGAGAATGGCTGCTGTGAAAAAAGTCTATTCCTGTTATAAACTTTTAACAGCTTTGAGAGAAACTGTTTATGAAGGTCTACAAAAAAAGAATAAAATTAACTTAAATACTATCAACAAAACTGTCTCTCAGAGGAAATCCAAACATTACAATGAAGTGAACATCAGTGCCATCTTGTGGACCATTTGACCAACATTTTGTCAAGCCATGAGAAATAGATGAATGGATGAATAATCGATACAGATTAAACTGCTTCCTGTTGATCCTCTAATCTGCTAACAAATGCATCAGTAATGAAAGACACCACAAATGTAGAGAAACCACATTTGTTTTAATTCACGTGGCAGAAGCTGTTTAATACATTTATGTGAACATTACATTATATCAGAACAGCTTCATTAGGCTGGTTATTCAAAACACAATCAAAGCTACAGCCTTTACAGTGTTTGTATTCCTCAAAATAACATTAAAAAATCTGTTGTTTTTCTATTCTGTCACCATGTTACACAGAAGCACTAGTTGATGTGCATTCCTTTTTTAAAATAAGTACGTAAATAAGCTGTTTAGGCATATATAGTCACTTGTTGATATCAAGTACAATTAAACCTGTAGTGCACTGTCCATCCTCGGCCAGTATTGTCAGCCATAATCTTCACAATCCCTTAGGTCATGCATGGTCAAAACTACAGCTGTTAACATTTTTTTTTAAATACTGAAGACATTATAAGTGCATGGAAAAAGTGTGGTAAATTATTAGAATACAAGGTTGTGCTAATTATAAGTGTTGACAAAAGTAATTCCTTATTTTCAGAGTCAGTTCTGTGTCATATTGATGAGTCTGCATTTTATTTTGAAACCAAAAGTAATGGTGACATGGTACTACCCTTGTGACAATGCATTAAACAGTATTAGAAAGTATCTCATGGCAGGAGAACAAGCTTGTCATTACAGACTACAGACTTCTTTTTTATGCCAGTGTTACAAAGGTTGCTACATCTTAAGTTTCAGATTCTGCTTACTGGTTTCACTTTTCCCCGTCCTGTTTCTGTCTGATCTGAACAGGTATGACAATCTCATTGATAGGGTCGCTGACGGATATCCCAGGGGCCGGGGCCTCTATGGATAGAACTCCATCACCAGACAGCGACGAACTGATGTGTTGCAAGTCCACCCCTGGTGGCAGCCTTAAAGAAATGAAGAGGAAGTTTAATACAATACACAACAATTATATCAAATCACACAGAGATCTGAAATTATAAGGATTTCATTTTTTTTTTTCATTCTTCATGTTCTCAGAGACAGCTTACTTGTATTTTCGTGTGAAGCACCGTGAAACCGATCCATGTTCATCCTGCCGTTCTTCATGATTTCCTTGTAATGAAATAATGAAATAATTTTAAAAACTGTCAAGAAAATTATGATGATTAGATTAGCTCTAAGTCTGTGTACGTAGTACATTTACAATTACTTATTATTATGCTTTTACTTGTCAAATAATTTCTCTCCCATCTTACAGATAGCTTGTGGGTAACCAGAGAGACATGTGCAGAATACCTGATATTTGCAAATAACCCTCCTTGGTTGTGATTGTAATTTCCTCAGGCGAGAAGTGATTGACATCCAGGTTAATTTTCCAACTGTCCTGTCCTGTTCGGATCTCTGACACTCCACTTGTCAGTTGTGTCAGACCCTTTTGGTTTAACGCTGCAGGGCGCTGACCACTGAATGGAGGCAGAAGGGGAGTTTGTGTGTACCCAGGCCAGGAGAAAGATCCCAGTCTCCTCTTTGCCCAGTCTATCCAGTCCAGATCACTAGGCTCCAGGAAAGGAGGGAGGCCAAAATCCTGCGCAAAGATGCGACTTGGCTGTGTCCAGTTTGGGAAAGGATCCCAACTCACATCTCGGCGGAAAATGGGACGGGATAATATTTTATTTTGTTCACCCATATCCTAAAGAATAAGCTCAGAATGAGGGAAAAGGGAAACTGCAAAGCCTGTAGCTCCACCCTGACAAACAAGTCTAGATTGATGACCTGAACAGTAAACAATAGGGCAGCTGTATTTTATATCCTCAACAGAAAGTGAGCAGGAGGTCTGAGGAAAAGGCTGATTTGGCATCTGTAATGCTCCACTCACACACTTTATATACCCAGCTGATTCATTTTAACACTTGTCCAGCATTAAGTGTGATCTAAGGGGTGAGAATGACTTGGTATGTCATGAGCAGGGGTGTTACTCCTCCGTTGCCCCGGGACCTGGAGAGGACAATGCTAATTATTTGTATTTATATCTCTGGAGTGTCTGTGGCAAGTTGTTATTGAATGACTCTGGAAGCAGCAAGCAGACAGTTTATTCAACAGTGGCCTCTGCAGTCTTGTCACATACTGGTGCCTTTTGTCCATAGAAATCACAGCCTTGTGTTATGTGAGGGAACAGCATGTACATTCTCAGCCCCACAGTAAACAACACTTACTTGCAGTTTCTAAACACAAGATGGAAGAAAATGTGATGAGTATGTGGGGCAAATTTCAATGTCAAAGACATGTTTACCTCCAGGAAAAAGTGATGGACCTAAAGGCTGACGCAGTCGAGCAGTGATGAGGAATTTTGCATCTAGAGCTATGTCTTCATGGCTGTTATGTTGTACAAATAATGAACCAAGCTTTAGAGAGATAAATCAAGCCATTCGCTCTCAAAGAGGAATGGTATTCATTAATGAGGCAATATCTGTGGTTTTTCCATCTGTGCTCATCCAAAGCATTAGTCAAAGGTATTAACCAGATAAATATTGAGCAATAGAAATACAGTAACTATAGCAGAAGTAAATAAATACATAATGCTTGGAGTGATCACGTTTATTGTTAGCAACACCAGCTTGATTTATGTATTCAGTAGATTCTGGGTTGTTGGCGTAGACAAGCCACCATTAATGTGGTGGAGCCTCACTTGTAAATCCACTGTACCGCATTTGAAGGATTTCATGTCTTAAGCCCGTTGGCCAAGAAATCTGTCCAGCTGATCATGTAGTGGCTGGATGTTGAAAAAATACTTATGAGTCTGTGCAGATACATAGGGTGCCCAGGTAGTCATAATGTTATGGTTGATTAGTGTATATTTATATATAAATATGTGATCTTAGGAATTTAATTATCATGTGACCCTTTCAACCAGCCACCTGCCAACTTCTGTATATAAATGACATTACTTCCATTGTTCCCCCATGCTCTGATTAAGGCCACTATGTTGAAACGTTAGCAATTGTTTGTTGATTTTGCCATAATAAATAGATTACACTGAGATGAGTCAACCTTGTCCTGAATATCTCTGTGAGTCTACCTTTTTTTAAATATTTTTCCTCTTTGGGTTTTCAACATTTTATGTTTGAATGCACAGTGAAAGAAGAAAATCAAGTCTTAATGTAAGTGTGCTACATACACAACTGTGGTAATTTGCCTTTAGGCTGATGCAACAACTGTATTGTCCAAATAAAAACTCATTTGAAAATGATAAACTGTATAAGAACATTCATCAGCATTTGATGACAATACACAAACAATACATATACTGTGCAGAGTTTATTTCATCTTAGTGTTTTTCCTGTTTTCTGCAAATATACAGGTGATCTGAAGAGCTGTCCAAAGAGTACACTTTTTATTAACAATATACAAAACAACAATAATTTAATATTAACAATAATGGAGTGTTTAGACTGTTGCATTGTTAATGTATTGACCTTTGACAGGAATTTTATCAATTATTGATTTAGACCAATCATTTTACACAGGTCCTCCAACTTGAAGTAAATGAAAGCACAAACTTTCATAAAGTGTTTTCCCTTTACACTGAACATAAAGCTGTTTCTAGCCCAGAATGCATTGCAGTGATGGTGGGTGTGAACAAAAGTACAACACGGGTTAATTTTAAACCTACAAAAGTCAGTGCATGTCTGCCTTGGAAGATGGAGTGTGTAGTTACTTTTTAACTTTGCAGGGACCTTTGCTCAATTTTATGATATATATACAAGTCTGAATCAGGGCTGTGGATATCTCTTCTGTATTGTTCTGTGTTTAGTCTTTATCTAAGCATATATTTATGCATGTATCCATCTTACAGCTTTTGATGTTCCAGTTGACAGCAAATCAAGAATTGAGTTTAGAAGGCCTCAGTTATCACATCGTCTTTTGACTGTGCAGCTTTTCTGAAATTAAAAAAATAAAAACAGTTAATAGAGAGACTTTCATACAATATATCACCTCTGTCAGACTTTTTACATCCTACTGAATGATTTAATGGATTTTATAAATGCAAAAGAAAACACACCTTTTCTGTTTTCTGCTGCTGAGTACGATTGTTAATACAATTACAAACAGTGCGACAGCTCCAATGACTGAACCAGCCACAATTCCAGCAACATTACCTGAGAAATGACAAAGATGTTTTTAACCAGACGAACCTTACAGAAAACTATAAGTAGTTTTAGTTTACTGCATAGATTCAGACAGAAAGAGAGAATATGCAACAAATGTCCCCAACCAGAATCAAAGGGTTTGATTCAATTTCACAACACACCCAGAATGTTCTCACATTGAAATCTGTCTGATTAAAGGGAATAAGTCTTACTGATTTAAGATAAGCTACTCTGTTTAAAGTTCTCCTAAAGGTATTCATATTTGTATTTTAATTCAGATGTACTTTCTATTCAAATTCAGTGGCACATATTTTTTGTGTTGCTACTACTGAACTTTTGAACAGCTCATTCTAAGGTAACGAAAACACAATGATTCTTATTTTCAGGTGATTATACACTAATGAAAACATAACTAAGAATATTATATTCCATTTCTGCCAATAGATCATCCTAAATGTTACACACTGGACATTTAAACCACTGACAGTATATATAATGGACAGAGCACCTGAGTGTCTTAACTTGCATTCTATGTAATAGCCAGCAGGGGCAGCTCCATTGGCTACAATAACACTGATACCATGCAGTCTTAAAGAGAAATGACCCGACTTCTCACTTGATTTATCAGCTCAGCAAATGGTTTCCTTATGAGTTTATGATCTTAAGTAGTTTCAAATCTTCTTCCATACAACATCATGTTTATTTTGTAAATTATCGTCCCATTTAGAGTAAAATAGACAGTAAAGCAGGGTATGCTTTAGAGCGTGGCTTCCTTGTCATTGACAAGTCAGGCTTGTTTCCTGCTACTGACGAGTCAAAACCGCGCAGCCAATGAGAGCAGCTTAACCTGTATGTCACCTCTGCTGCTTATAGGTTTAAGAAAGGCCTGTGTTTTGGCTAAGGAAGAAGTCCCTCATATTAACTAGACAACCCATAGAGGTGTCCCACTGTAAACGTCTTTGTATTTCAAATGTGATATATGCATTTGTATTAGAGTTAATGGTCTTATAAGGATTTCTCACTTACACAAATATTTAGGTAAAAAGATCATGAGAGTGATTTGATTTTTTTCATTTCAACATTGAACTGATTTGATGGATCAAATGAGGCACACAAAGTCACACACACACACACACACACACACACACACACACACACACACACACATCAAATATACACACTGCTGACTGTTAAGATCAAAATAATTATATAATAATAATAAAGAGTGATTTATTCATTTATTCGTACTGGGAATCATGCAGTTGGTTTCTTCTCCAGACCACTGGCCGTTGCCCTGGCAGACGCGCTCTGCTGATCCTTTGAGAGTGTAGCCATCATCGCAGGAAAACTGCACCTTAGCTCCTTGTAAATATGTGGTCCCCTTTTTCATCCCATTTGTTGGTGGTGAAAGCCAACCACAGGATATCACTGCACAGTATAACAGTGACTTACGCTGTGAAACCAAGTAAATGTACAGTACACAATACTCACTGTAAATGTTCTTAGACAATTTCATTGACTTACCTGGCTTTAGATCCTGCACAAGAGAAATGTGACTCTGGAAAGACATTCTGGTAGCATTTCCCATTTTTGGACTACGACCTACCAGGATATCATACCTACAGGACAGAGTTACTGATCATAAAACAAGCTGCTGTAGTTAAAAAAATGTATCACAGCAATGGAAATTCCTTGCATTTACATAAAGTTAAAAACGGTACCATCAGTATTATCATTAGTAAGTTTTTCTTTTCATACCTACAAAACTGGGAGCCCTCTCCAGAGCATATCTCAGATGCCTGACTGGCTAATGGATCATCTGGACTCTCAGGGACAGAAAACACTGGAACAAAATGAAGGTCGTGTCTGGGGCCATAGTAATACTCTTCCAAAAGATATTCTGAATCATATGTGAACAAGGCAGACTCGTTGTAGACAGCCCCTGTAACACAAAAAGAAAGACACACAACTTAAAACCACAAAAGTGAAAAAGTGAAAGTGAAAAGTGAAAACTGAGCAACATTATATGCAGATATTTCACTAAATGAGAGTTCTGTATTTTCCCACCATGAAAGGGTAACATAAAGGGGACATGACCTAAAACAGGAAGCAGTATGACAAAGAAATGGGGTGGCGAAAAGACCTTAAACTTTGGTGACCTGTGTTTAATTCTTGACTAATATCCAAGAAGTGTGAGTAAGTAATACATTCATGAGTGCAGTCTTCCCTTTCAAACCTGACCAAAGTCCTGATCTTTCTCTCATAGTTGCTTAATTTTAAGTCTTGAGTAAATTTCTTATATTTGCCTAAATTCAATCATTAGCTCCAGTATGTTGGTTCTCATTATGTTGGTGATATTTAATGTTTTCGTCAAATAATCCAAGTCTTGGTGAAAGAACATAATCTTAATGTAATTCATATCCACAACTGTAGTCTATGTCCCAAAATGTCTGTGTAACTACATTTTATGATGAGTCACATCAGCACATAATCTATGTTGTGAACCATTTCTTACAGCTCGCCCCAAAACTGAATAGCTCCTCTGGATTGCTGTGGTTCTGCACAAGTTGACCATTGCTGAGAGCGAGGTCATCCATGGCGTCACCGTTCATCTTTCCCAGCAGCCCAAGAGTGGAGTCTTTGAACTCTTCTGGCAGGAGCACCGTGGTCGTCATGGTACCCTCTCTCAGTCGCACTTCCACCCCGGCTCCAGTTGGGAACATCACGGTCACATTTGTAGAGGTAGGAGAAAATACAAACACACCTAGAAGAGAGATTTAGTTTTAATAAAGGCAGTTCTTGTAGTTTTAACAAGATGATATCAAGACCTTACTTTGAAGACCCTGAAAACAGATTTTCTCAATCAGCTTTTTAATGTTCGGTATATTCCATGGTAGGGCCCATAGAAAGTATTAATGGAACGGGGTAGGGTCATAAAGTACCTATTTGGTGGGTAGCTACACTCTGCTACATTACATACACAAAGAGAAAATCCCATACTTACGGTCAAATAATATGAACAAATACTTTTTCTAAAAAAATTTTTATAAAATTTCATCAAGGGTAGTAAAATCAATCACTTCATCATAAGCAAAAAAGGTGAATCAGGGTCTCACCATGCAGGTCCATCCAGCTCTGTTCAGTAAAGGAGAGAGTTTTTTGATTCTGCAGCACTTCAAGGCCATTGTGACCGCTGACCTGCCGCACCTCAATAACATCAGAGTATGCTTCTTTCATAGCTACAGACGTCAGTTTCGTTGCTTTTATCGCCGTCCCTAAGTGTGAGAGAATCAGATCAGTGACATAGAAAAAGGACATGTTTCTTAGTTCTAGCATTTACTGTTGATTATTGACTGACAGGACATTTAAAAGCTCAGTGCCTTCAGTTGCTCACCATTCACAGGCTCTGTTCTGCCTTGGATTGTCAGCTGCTTCTTCGCTGAGGTCACCAGAGTGTATTCCCCTTTGCCATTGAAGGAGTAGCTGACACCATCAAATGTTATGAAGTGGGGATCTCCAAACACCAAAGCTGGCATTACAGACACAAAAATTAAGACTTGACAGTACAACTATAATCTTATAAATAAAAACGTAAACTGTAATACCGTGGTTGACTCACCTGAGCTGGGTGACTGATAACGCCTGCAGTCACTGGAGGGCCGGTGTTTGAAGTAGTATTGGCAGTTGTCAGACCACAGGCAGCAGTAGTAGAAGCTGAGGACGTCATACACCCAGTGGGACTGTCCAGGTATCCGAGGGGGTTTGTTGAATGGAGGTGAGCCCCAGTCGTGTGCTCGGTCTGGAGTGCTACCCCCAATCGAGTCTGCGGTCAGGACCTGAGCACCGGTGCTGTCATAGCAACACTGTTGCCCGGCTGCATACTTAGGACTGTTGATAAAGGTTTTTTTAATATTAAATTCATTGCAGTATTGCTAGTTTAACGTCAACGTTTTAATTAGCAGTGTAACTTTAATATTCCATGACCAAGTAATGGATCACAACTATTTTTCCCACTTACTTTCAGGATGTTTTGATATATTTTAAGTATGAATGTACAGTAATGGTCAGGTCTTTTTTATCTCAACAAGAGCTCAGTCAGGACACAGAGTGAGTTTTACTACTTTAGGCGCCATAATTCCAGTTGAGCATTCTGGGTAGTGCAGAATTTATGTGTTTTATTCCATGGTTAATGGATAAAAGTGTTTGTATAAATATAATTTAAATGTAATGCAACACACAAGCAAGGAGGATAAGGATATAATCCCAATCCCGAGTGTACACAGCCTGTATGCATGCTGTATCTAGAACGGGACAATAAAACAGGTCTGCTGCTTTGGATGCAGATCTGGCCCAGAGTCAGTTGTTATCTGGAGAGGGTATTTACTGTCAGGGTGACGTAGTGTGGGTCAGGTGCAGGCATGTCATTGGGTTTATAGATAAGAGTATAGATTAAAAAAACAGGAAGCCTAAAGACAAAGTGTAGTATGAGAATGAATATATTCTGTACCTTTTACCAATTTTTTATTTGTATTTTAAGTATTTGGCAAAAATGTTTCCAATTGTCAAAAATCTATGAGGTTTAACACAAGGTGCTTTAACAAAACATAAATTAAATGGTTTGTTTGACAGATTTAGAAATGCTGCATATGTAAACCACCAATACTACCTAGTATTTAAAGTTACAAAATAAAGTTGTTGTTGTATACAGCCATACCCTGCTAAATATGTTACCAATATATTGCTTATGATGTAAGTGCAGTCAACCGTGAGGACAGGATAACAAGGACTCACCTGGCTTGTATTGCCCTTACACAGTGAACACTCCCAGGGTGGTAGGTGCACACGCTCCCTTTCTCTATATCACAGCCATAGTCAGTCTGAGGAGAAATACAACGTCTGTGACCAAGCAGCCAAATTCCCCGTGTTCATTTATAAACTGCAGTTCAGTTGCACCAGCTCTTGCAATGTAACTAGAGTGTTTATTAAGTGGAGATTTAGACATCACTGAATTAAACCACACAAAATAATTCTTCTTTCTAACATCTGACACGATTAGAGGGCAGTTAATGGTCAACATACAGTTGGCCTATCTAACCTGAGACTTGATGAAAATGCTTAATAATGTTCTAAACTGGGATTTTAAATCACATTTCACAAAAAAAAACACAATACAGCTACCTTAACTTACCAATTACCAAAAAGCATCAGTTAGGTTAGCCTAATTGAAGATGTTATCACTGTTAAATGCATGAATGCTACTAACTCTAAAACACATGTATGTCTGTGTACCTGTGTGAATACATAAATTAAACAAACACCTCTAAAATCTTTTGGCAGTTATGTTACAGCTCAGCTTCTTCTTACTAAGAACTTAAGTACAACTTTTAACACAAACAGCTGGTGAAACCCAGTTCAGACGCATTATATATATATATATATTTGCTTGTCCACAGTTTTAAGTTAGTAAATGCTTCACACTGAATCCTCATCATACACATCAAGTCACTAGCTGGACACACAGAGTTTTAACATTGTGTTAGTCACTCACTTGCTATTTAAAGACAGTAATGGCTAACCCTAACTGTAAATTTGTAAGCTAAACATCAATAAGATTGATGCACAAAAGTGTTTGAATGTGTGTGCCTGCCAATAATACAATAAAGGGTGACCTCTCCTTGACTTTGAACTCATAAGCAGTGAGCATTAGTAAAAGGTTACAGGCACTGATAACCATCATAAACCCATCAAATTGTTACTTTTATCCAGCACATAAAATAAAATCCCAATACTCTGTTTAGGTCTTTATCCAGTTAATCAGTTAATAAAGACTTACTGCATTAATAAATAATTATGGTCCGTTTGCCTATCTTCAAGTAATTTGTGAACTCATGGTACAAGGTGTGTACCACTGTATACAGACGTATAAGCAATACAGACACACCTCTTCTCCAGATATAAGTAAATTCCAGCAATTTACTTATATCTTATATCTTATATCTTATAGCTCAGCTTTTGTTTGGTGCAGGCTGGCAAAGTGAGTGCTGCCAAATCTAAATCTGCTTCTCTTCACACTTACATGAAACCTCCCTGTGTCTGCTCTCGCTTGAGCCAAAGTGCAAGGACAGTCTATGATCTCACTGAGGAAGTTGGGCAGCTGATTTTCCAGCTGGTCCCATGCTAAACATTTGTCCAGGGCCCAAACCGTTGAGTTCTGCCTGAACTTCTCCTCCAAATGCCAGGCAAGAGCGTGATCCTCAGTCCACGCTGCTTGTACATTCCTAAATGAAACACATGACAAATGCAGCTGTTGACTTTGTACATACATAATGATTTTTAGAGGATATAGATCTCTGTGAAACCATAATTGAATAGCAAGACTGTTTTTTTTTTTTTTTTTTTGTATTTCAGTTATCTGTATTATAGCAGGTGTTCACACATACCACATGCCATCGGGGTAGGTGCTGGGGCTGACACGTACAGAGCCAAGCTCCCAACTAGAGAAGCTGTTCTTTGCTGGTTCGGGCAAAAAGCTAAAGGAACCATTGTTGGGCTGATCCTTTGCAAGTGAATACAGATATAGCCACTCACCCTGCCAGCTGTCTGTATACGCTTCACCTACAGAGAAACATTTTACAGAGTTCAGTGTTTTCACTCAATTAATAGTCATGTGACCTTCAAAGTGTGTGTGCGGTGTATACAGGTGTACTCACCTGTCTCCCTGTATCCCCAGAGCTCTATATTGACCCTCTCTGCTCTGACCAAAGAGGTATTCCATGTCATCTCAAGAGTGCCTCCAACGTTGGGTGTGCCATAGTACTGCCATTTTGTTGAGTTGACCAGAGTTGCCTTAAACTGAGCATCTAACTTGCCAGTGTGCACTGTAGCAACACATTTGAATCAAATAAAGCATCATGTTAATGTCATGTTTAAGGAAGAGACCTGAGGTCATCAAAAGAATATGTAGACAATTACTGTACCTGAGAGCCAGGATCCAACTCTTCTGAATGTAGTGCCATTATCTGAGGAGATGTCCAAAGGAACCCATCCTGTTTCATACAACAGTGGGGAGATACAATGGCCTCTACTGTTTTCATCCACATACCCCAGAGTGTTGGTATTATTGTTGAACCTGCCATTTTAAAAGAATGATCAGCAAGTTATACTTGAGCGTGAAACTTGATTCTCCCAGTGCTTTCAACTGTATCCTCTGCACAGAGGTGTAAAATAAAGTCTTACCTGCATATAATCTTGGAAGTCTTATTAAAATTTGCATCAAGGACCATAAAATCTGTCCCACCCAAAATGGAGCCGGAATATGGAAAGATTTCCACACAGTACTCTTTATAGTCTGTACAGCAGTTCTTCAGAGAAGTGCACGTTGAGTGACATGAACATGTGTCTAATTTTTCCCCACAGTTTCCTTCACATGTCTGTCCTGTCCAAAATAAGGAGAAAGACGTCTTTAGTATAGAGTCTGGAGGGAGCCATCAGTTTAATTTGAAACAACATTTAAAAGCAATGTATGTATCATGGAATTTAATTAGTGTTTAATGATATATTTTAACTTACCATTTTAATTTTACAAAAATTAATTAGATTTCATTATTCTGTCTTTAAACTATGAAGAGATTTTTTTTATATTTTAAAATGGATTTGCAAAATATTATAGACTTTTACATTTTACTTTTTGTTCTGTCTTTATGTTATGTTCCACTTCACAAATCAAGTTATCTCTGGCTTTAACACAATTTTAGAGACAACACTGAAAATTAAATAGGGCCCAGCAGTTCTTGTAGCTCAGCTGTTGACTTCTGTCCCCCACAAACACACAAATGCTACTGCTGCTTTAAAAGAAATGTGCCCAAATACTAAATACTTTAATCTAAAACTTAGAATGAGCTGCTTAGTTAACTTTTTAATCCTGCTTTTGAACTTTTCCCATCACTGAAATGAACAAACAAAAAAATGACTTTAACAATTAAAAAGTTTGTGGGTGCTTACCTAATGTCCTGCAGATACATGAAACCAGAAGGACAAATATTACTGCTGCGTATCTCTTCATCATGAACCGCTAGCCAAGGTTTCTGCTACTCTCTTGACAGCTTCTACAATTGTGTCCCAGGTAGATATACTCAGCATTTTTCTAAACCTTGGCCCTGCAATCACAGGCATTTACAAACACCAGCTTAATCATCAACCAGAGGTCATTGTAAATCCAGCTGCATTTATCCACCTTTGATCATCTCTCACTTCAATGCAAATTAGTTTGTAAGATTTATTATCTGCTTAATAGATTTTAAATCGTATGCCACACCTGTGGAAATTCATTTTGGCTGTTACGTTATCATTATCATGTTTAGATAAAGGTGCAGTTTATCAAGACACAATTAGTTAGATAAAAGCTAAATAAAACATGCTTTCATGCGTATAATATTGGTCTTAGATAATATCAGTCATATGAAATACTATCAAATAATAGCAGTACAATCATATAAAATACATTACATACTGTGTATTTAATTTATTATTAGTATTCTGTATCACAGCGTGCCTTTAGACTTTACAATTTGAGCTAATTGGCGAAATAGCAAGCTAGCTAAGCAGACATGTACATTAGCATATTAAAATCCTAACAATTTTTGAGCCTGTTGATATGCTGTAGCATTTCCATGGCAACAAGGCAAAATGCTGACAACATACAACTGATGAAAGCTGTACTTGTTTTGCTTCATAAACACTTTTAACATTTTCTTTAGTTCTTGTGTTGTTGTATTTGTGTTGTCCAGCAGAGTGGACTGCTTCCTCTCGCTGCCTTCACTGAGGCAACACTGAGACTATTTCATATTTTGCAGTCTGAATTAATAATTAAGAAAACAAGTTCCACTTTTACACATCATGTGCTTATTTGTTTTCTGGCCACCAAATTGGCATTAGGATGTGACTTCAAAGTTGAGGGTAGACTGAAATTTAATTCTTTACTAATCCTATGACTTTTAAGTCAAAGCACAAAGAACTTGTTGATTTCTTTCACAGGTTTCATTATGCAACCTAAAAACAATCTCTGAGGAGGGGAGCTGTAAGGCCAGCTGCAGGCCAGTAGGGGGAGCAGCTACCTCAGGAATCATCTTCCTGCCACAGTACGCATTTAAAATGTGCTGGAGTATTTTGCTCTGTACTGAATTCATTTTCACAAATAAATACAGCTGCATAAGTGTCCATTGTGGTTTAAAATGTTTTAATGTAACAGTACAACATGAGTGAGGTATTATAAACATTCATGGCTGCACACATATGTAATATTTGTATCTACTGTTATCATGTAGACAGGATTTCAAATGTGTTAAATACAAAATAAAGATTACAAGTGCTTCTATTGTTATTATGGATGGTTTATCTCCATGATTTAGATGGTTTGAACTCTAGATATTAGGAACAAGCAGACCCACTGATAGCTGGGTTCTGTTTTGAGCTTGTCGTCTGCTTTCTACTAAACTAAAATATTGGCAGTACTTGTGTAATATTTGCATAATACATAATTGAATGACATTATCATAAAGATGCAAAAAGTAAAAATCAGCTGACATAGAACACAATTGGCAACAACCATGGAGCAGTATTACTGAACAAACATGGCTGTTACAGCAACATCATCCCAAATCATCTGGCAACATCATCTGGACTTGGTTCTTGTAGATTCCTGAAGAAAACAGTGGAGAGTTTGCTCAGTTGTCTGTACATATAGTAATTTTACATTGTCTTAACATGAACCTTTGATGATTTTCACACTCACCACCATCAAATGGCCATTCTTTGCCCTGTAGACCATGGACTCCTGGCCACTTTTGAAGTCCACAAACCCCTCTCTGCCGGGCTGGATGTCAAATCGCACACTGTAAGCAACAATGACCATTACATATTGAATTAGGCCCATTCGTCCTTTTAACCATTTAGATTTCTATCTGTTAAAATAATAATAATCATCCATAAATTCCAGATTCTGTACCTGCCCTGAACCACTTTGATGTAGTTCTGCTTGTTGGCAATAACACTCAACTTAGTCAGGGCCTCAAACAGGTAGTCACACTGCAGAACCAGATCCCCCTGAAAGAAAAAATGTCATCCTCCAATTGTTAGTGATTTCACAAACCATAATCCTTGAATCAACCGATTCATTAATTAATGTGTTTGATCTGATCTGGGGTCTGCTGTGAGGGGTGCTCATGAAAGTCATGGACCCCATTTTTGAGTTAATAATTATTTACCTATAAAGATCTATGTACAAATTCCTCATCAAGCTATCCTGGCTACAAAAACACTGTTTGCTAGTAAAGGCAACAGTCCAGACTGATGTTGATTTTCGCTGCAGTGTAGAGTCATTACAGATTTCACAGATTAATTGAGCGACAGGGTTCTCTGGTGGTCTACAGGCGCTGAACATGATCCACAAAATCCCTGCTTTGCATCCAGCCAAGCATGTTGTTCCCCAGCTCTCTCTCCTCTCATTTCCTGTCATCTCTCTACTGTTGGCTGTCCAATGTGGTTTTACTGCCTTTGCAGACTCAAGTAATTGTGTAGAGAATCATGCGACACATAACCTACGGACTGTGTTATCAGGATTTCATCTGTTTGTAAAGTAAGGTAGACATTTTGAGATTTAAAAATACAGTGTTTTCGACATCTATTAAACCCGTGTAATGATCTACCTTTTGCTTGATGTCATCACATGTAACATGAAGGATCAGGAAGTTGTCACTCAGGTTGCTGACCGACACACCTATCAAAAAAAAAGAGTCACCTTTAAAAAAAATCTCACGTGTGTGTGTGTGTGTGTGTAACAGCTTCAAGTTTCAAGCATGTAGCTCTCCCTACAGATAATGATGCTTATTTAGTCTAATTGTCTCACTGGTTACCTTTCAGAGAGATGTAATCTATCCGCTGCTTGATCTTGGCCTCCTCCACAAGGTAGGCAGCTTCCTGAGTGAAGATGAGCTGCCGGAGACGAGGCCTAAATCCGTTCCTGTCATACTTCACCACTGGCACGCTGTACTGTGGGAGGGACACACACAAGGTCACCATGGGTTTAAAAGATAGGACAAGGATGCAAATTAAATTCCAATGTTAGTTTACCTTGATGTGCTCATGCTGAATCATCTGAAGCACTTTGATGTTTATATCTTCTGCACCTTAATGAAATAACAGAAACTGCTGAGAATCCATGAGAGAGGATTTCACACACAAATCAAAGACAATAATATGATACAGTCTCGATAACTTAATTATAACTTGATTATCAATGTGCAAAATAGTCCATTAACATGCTCACAAAGTATCTCAGTATGCATAATCAGATTTTGTTATGCAATTTGCTAACTGCAGCATGCATACATCTAATCTAACGTCTAATCTTCAGCCTCCACAGGCTTATAACTGTTCTGTTTTATCATGTTGCACGATATGATATGATGTACTCATGCATACAAAATCACAAAGGTAAGTAAATATTATATTCCTATAAGTAAACTCAAAGAAAAAAAATAACTCTCTTACCTATCCTGGTGTCCACAAACGGTCTGCACACACTGAAGGGGTAGTTTTCTTTCTTTCCTTTGAACATGGAGCTCGTCTGTGCTTTTAACACAAGCTGGGAACGAGGAAACAGGAAATGAATAAACAGTAAGAAAGAAGAAAGTAAGTTACTTTATTTCCTTATTTAAATTTGTCTGGGACTCAATTGTTGCCCACAAACTTATTTCCAAAATTAAGTCATTTTAAATGCAGAAGTTGTGGTTCCTACACTCAAGAAGGTGGATTGTACCTGTGCTTTCCTCTGTGGAGTGATTCCTTGTACGTACTTCCCTACCATGTGGCGAATGTAGAGCTTCTTCAAGAGCTGGGAAGCCTAGAAAATATCCAATTTTACATTAGTTGTTTGATTAGATACCTTTACAGGGTGCAACGGTTACAAACCTGTGCCCTCATGCAGACTTACGACTATAAACAGCTGGTGTCAAAAACATATCACCCACCTCCTTCATAATAGGTGGAGGGGTGAGCCAGGAGTCTTTCTCCAGGACTGTTTTGGGAAGGTTTTCCCTCAGCCGTGTGAGGTAGTTCTGCCTCACATACGCCAGGTACTCACTGTTGTCATTGCAGGCTGGCTGATTTCTGGTTATGAAACCTTTAATGAACCTAGAATAAATCAATAGAAAGGTCACAACATAGACTGTCATTCTCATCTCATTAAACCAAACAGATATCCATTGTGTTAACTTACTTCTTGATGACCTTGACAGCCCATGCCCTCTTTTCACGCTCCTTTCTGGCCATTATACCTCTCCAGCAGTTCTCAATCTTAGTGGCTATTGAGATGAGACAAGGTAACAAAAAGTATTATCTTAAATACTTAACATATTGGCCATTCGGCTACATTTAGGTAAGGAAAAACTTGTGTTTGTGAACAAATCTATGGGCATTTTAACACTCACCAGCATCTCTCTGTTTCTGGTAGTCTCCTTTCACTCTGTAGCCTTTGTACTTGGCCTGAATCCTTGTTGCTGCAACAATGACAGTTACAGTTTCACCCTCAGGATGGTTACTATGCTCAATGTAATATTACAACTTTAGAGAACAGTATCTCACCTAGCTTATGTTTGCAGACCTGAAAGGCGTCTTCTGTTGCAAACAGCGTTCTAGGGTGTCGGATGAAAATTTTTGACCTTGAGGGAAGAACATAAACAATAACAAGTACATACATATCTCATCATAGACTGTCTGGCACACATCCATTAACATCTGCCTACCTGCCCATCTTGTACTCATCAGGTTTGTAGCCCAAATGTTTGATCAAGCAGCGTACACCTTCTGCTGCTGTACCTTTCCAGTTGGGCCAGGTGTCTGGACAGAGAGGTTTATACCTGAGCACAGAAGAAGACCCCACAGTCACACACAGCTTTGTAGCTGATACCAACAATACCATGCCAAATGTCTTCTTAAAAAAAGAGTAACTTCATGTGAATTTGGATGATGAGCCGTGAAAGTGTGCTCAGCTACCTCTGGAGAAAGATGTCGTATTTGCGCCGGTAAGCAAACCCGGCACGCCTGACCCTCAGGTGCTCCATGAGCCCCAGGT